ACAGTGACATGGTAGGTACTTAACAAATATTTAATAAATAAATGGATAAGTGGATGAGTCTACTGCAATGGTTCTAACGCAAGATAATGAGGTTCAGAGAGGCTAAGATAAGGTGGTAGCTGTGGAAAGGAAAAGGAGAGGTTTTTATGCTGGTAGAACCAAGGGAAAGAGGAAGCCAAAAAATATAGTAATTAGATTTTAAGCTTGGGTGACTGATTAGTGAGACTTTCATTTATAGAATTAAAGAAGTAAAAAAACGGCTGGCTTTTGTCTTGGACATGTTGAATTTTGCAGTGTTAGAGAAGTAGCAGAAACGAAGTCCTAATCTAGTTTACTATCTACCATGTGCTTTAGCTTCCAGATGATTTTTTCAAATCAAATTTCATGAGGCAAGGCTCATATTTTTTTCTTTAGTTACTCACTTTTTCCTATTTACTCCCTTCTTCACTGCCTTGTCATTGAAAAATGTTAATAAAACCATTTTTGAGATATATTAGAAACTAAGGCACTTAGTGAATCAAGGGAGAAAAAAAGAGAACAAGTTTTCCAAACTTAATCCATAATATACAACACCTGGAAAATGTCAGACAAATATTAATAAAATACAGTATTCAGATGATGGTATGGCTAGAACAAGATAAGGGAAACAATGCAAAATTATTTTCAAAAGGCAATTACCTGAAGCTGCATAAAGAAAAAAAGACAAGAATAAAAATGAGAAAAGCATTTTGGTAAAAACAGATATAATGGCAAAAACGTTTTCTAATTCAAATCTTAAAAAGTACTGATTCTTGGGCCGGCCAAGTAGCGCATTGGTTAAGAGCTGGCTTGGGACGCCAGCTATGAGCAGCAGGGCCCCGGTTCGGATCCCACATGAGGGCCAGTGACACTGCCCTCTACAGCTAAGATGGTGAACAACAGCTCAACCTGGAGCTGGGCTGCCATGAGTCACCAGCGATGCGTAGGCTGTGCAGCCCCTGCTGCAGTGGGCTGCCATAAGCTACCGTGAGCGGCCAGCAGCCTGTGTGAGCTGCCAAGAGCCGCCATGAGTGGCCGTCCAGAGACGGCAACCGATTTGCCTCATCTGGGAAGAGCGCAATGATAATAACAACATGGGCCAGTGAAGCAACGGCTTCCACAACTAGACTGATGAACAAAAGGACAGCAACTTGTCTGTTTTCCTTCCCCCGATTCCCCAATAAAATCTTTGGAAAAAAAAAAAAGTACTGATTCTTATTTTCAATAAATAGGCAAATTCTCTGTAAAAAAATAACACTGATTCTTAACATGGTTAGGCTAAATCTTGACAACTTACCAAAAGTAGCCAAGAAGCTACTACCTCCCTGTTTTAGAAAACATTACAACATCCCAGATTCTTTTCAAACACTTTTTATCTTGAAAAGCTTTACTCTAATTCACGTAAAAGCAAATTCTTTCATAGAATAAAAAGCAACTCTCAACATCCCAAAACATCAAGGATCTTACATACCAAGGTTAAAAAATCATCCTGGGGAGGCTGAGTAGCTCAGTTCGTTAAGGGCCAACTCTGAGCAACAGTTTCACAAGTTTGATTCCCACATGGGCCAGTGAACTGTGCCCGGGCTGAGCTGCTACTGAGCTGGTGAGAGTGCATGCTCTTAGCAGTAAGGTTGCTGGCCTGCCCCCCCCCACCTCCACCCCGCCATGGAATGGTGGGCTGCAGCCCCCCGCAACTAAGATTGAACACGGCACCTTGAGCTGAGCAGCCACGAGCTGCATAAGGCTGACCGGATGGTTCATTGTGCAACAAGGTTGCTGGTTCAACTCCCGCATGGGATGGTAGACTACACCACACCCCTCTCTCCCCACACCCACAACTAAACTGAAAGCGGCAACTGGAGCTAGAGCTGAGCTTGCACCCTCCACAACTAAGATTGAGGACAACAACTTTTGGAGCTGATAGGTCCTGGAAAAACAATGTTCCCCTTCCCCGATTCCCCAACACTGTTCCCTTCCCCAGTTCCCCCAATAAAAAAAAAATCCAAAATGTTAACAAAAGTTCCCATGTACTGTATGTTCAATTAAGTATCAAGAACACATAAAATAACCACAAAGAGAATAATTGTTTAACTTAAAATCATAATATAAATGAAAATATACCAAAAAGTCTACTTAAAAATCACCTGTTCAAAAGATGAAACCTGGCAAAATTGACATTCACATTATATAAATAATATAACTTCAATCTGTATTTTAAATATCACCAGATATAAGGACAGAAACTTTTGAGTGGTAATATTTGTTGTATAATTATGCTCAAAATTTAGCTCTAAAAAATTCAACTTTTTCATACAGACTTAAAGGCTGTTTTATCAACTATGGAAGTATGATATTTAACCTGAAAGCACAGAGCATTTACAGCACAAAAGCTGTAAAAGTATTTATAATACAAGGATTCTATCCACTGAAGCCTGGGGAAACAAAATCTACCACTACTATCATTATTGTTTACAATACACTGGATAACAACAGAAGATGACAAGGAAGTAAAACAGTATAAATATGTTTAATTTAAAAACCTGGAAATACCGAAGATGTCCTGCCATATTACTAATAAAATATAGCTCCAGCTATATTAATATAGGTCAAAAACCTCAAAAATAACAAAAGAAGGAATACATGACTACAGTAATTTTGAGTAACATGCACTTAAATTGTAAAGACTGCCACATAGCTATAAAAACATTTTTCTACAGAAGACTTTTTTTTTTAAGTGGGACAGGAAGTAAGCTATATTGCCCATTAATTCTCAGTGGTTGTTTTATTTTGCTAATCAATTCAGCCTTCAATTATGGTTATTAAACATTTTCCCTTGTTACATACTGCTTTTTTTTTTAGGCAACAAATATTATCTCACACAGTTTCTGAGGATTAGGGACTGTTGAAAGTATCTTAGGTGGGTGGTTCCAGCTCAGTCTCTCAAGAGTTGTAATCAAGTTGTCGCATCAATATATTAATTTTTAAAATTATAAAACTTATAAAGAATTGCCTGCTCCCCACCAAAGTTAAATTTAAATTCCATGATCATAGCAAACTCAGCTCTGCAAAATTCGTTTACATTGAAAAGCCAATGATCTACCACTGTCATATTTTAGTGCATTTTTAATGTAAAATACCCTCAAAAGTTGTTTAAATTATACAAATTCACTTCTAACACTACATTTAAAGACACTGAAGCCCAATACAATTGAGTTCAATTTGCTAAAGCAAATGAGCCTAATCTCATAAAGATTTCCTGAGGCATTAAAATCATCAGTATTTAAAAGAAAATAAAAAGACACAAAAATCTGAAGTCATAGAGTACAATAGAGAATTCACTACATTTTTTATTAACCATAGTACAAGATAATGAGTAAGATGTATTATTCTGTCATCCCCCTACTAAAGATCAAATTTGTTTCAATTTGATATTATAAATTAATGTAGCTAAGGACTTCAATTTCTTTTATGTGTCTAACACTGAAAAGGGGAAAAAGTATTTCTTAGCATTCTATCATAAAGGAAAAGTGTTAGAGAAACTTTCCATTATAACCATGCTTCAAACATCCCTTTCAGTGCCTTGATAAAAATGTACCATACTGGAAAACATAGCTTCTACATTAAAAATTTCTTTCAATATGTTTTCAATTTGAATAGATAACAATATGCCATCCAAGTCCCACACTTATTTGAAAATTTTCTGGAGTTCAGATGCATTCAAGATTAGTCATATTAAGTAATATCTGTCATCATTACTGCTTCTTTATATATATAAAAAATACATAGCATTCAATTCTCTCAGTACTTTAAAATCAAAATCATAGTATTCACTTCCCTCCGAATCAACGTTACTCTATTCCATTTACCCTAAAGAAAACAGCAAACACATCTTTGTGGTCTAACCTGGCAAATCAGTGTTTTAGAAACCAATGCAACTGTTATTAATGGCTCAGAACCAAACGCTGTTAACAAAACACACTGAGTGGAATCCTCCAAGTGTGTGTGTGTGTGTGTGTGTGTGTGTGTGTGTGTGTGTGTGTGTGTGTGTGTGTGTGTGTGTGTGTGTGTGTGTGTGTACACACACATGTGCCCATTCATAATAATGTGATGCAAACAAAAACTCAATTTCTACTGAATACCAAAACACCTTTACATAATTTATTGGTTACAATAAAACTGACCTCTTTAATGTTCAAAGAAAGAAAATTTCTAAAGCTAGCAATGAGAAGAGTTAATCCCGGGATTGCTGCCACCTATCAACTTTAATTCAAAGCAAAGTACAACTCAATGTCATTTTTACCTCTAATGCAACCACGACCGAAACAAAATTAACTTCCCTGTGGGATAAAGTATCCGGGCATCTCAATGGATTATTTACTGCTCTGATTTAACAGTACACATGTGTGGAGTCTTGTCCATCCCACAGCAACCCAGGGTGTCAACATCATCTTAGTAAAGCAAATGACGAGCAAATCCCTCAAGTCATTACGTCGCACCCTAAGTAACACAAAGTCACGGCCTTCATTGCTGTTACTACACAGCAAACTGATTCTATAGTCCCATGCCCCCTTTTATTATATTCGCGGAGGCGGGGTAGGAAAGATGCGCTCAGGATAGCCTGAGAATCCTGGTACCAGAAGCAGGAGGAACACAAGTGATATGTGGGTCACCCACAAAGAGAGAAACAGAAGGAAGCTTTGTGACCCTCCAAGTTCAGCGAAGACACCGAAAGCCTCTGGAGAAACGGGACACAAGTCTTCGGGGAAACCGGGGGGAAGGAGACCATCTTCGAGATGGGGTGACTGGGTCTGGCACCAGCCCAGGGCGTGGGCAGCGACCAAGGAGTCTCCCGTACCCCACCCCTTCGCACCAGGTCGGTCACTTGGCGAGGGGTGCGGCCGGAGGAGGGGGTCAGAGCTGGGGGAGGGCGCGGCCCGAGGCTCCCCCAGCGGCGCCCTGAGGGCTCGGGGGGCGTGTCCTACCTGGGCCGGGGTGGACGCAGGGATTTCAGGCGGAGGGCTGGAGTCCAGCTCAGGGCCGGGACCCCCAAGGGTCAACCCTCAGCAAGCGGGATCGCCGCCGCCTGCCCATCCCCCGCCGCCGACTGCGGCGGGACCCGAGCGCGGCTTCGAGGGCCGGCCGTCTGGGTAGTCCCCTCGGGTACCGTCGCGTTCACTGGCGGCGGCGGCGGCGGTCGCTACTGTTACTGCCGCTGCTGGCCGCCCCCAGCCGCTGCTCTCGTGCCAGCCCCTGCTCCTCCTCCTGCCGCCGCCGCCGCCGCCGCGTCCCCACCGCTCCCATCGCCGCTGCGGCGACTACTGCAGCGCCTGCTGACCCGACCCGACGTTATTCTCCCCCTTCGCAACCCGGCACAGCCTAGCCCACCTGCCCTGCCAGTGCGCACGCCCACCTCTCCGCCACAGGTGCTGATTGGAGGGCGCGACACGAGCTCGCCACGTCGGTTGGCTAGTCCCATTGTCTATCGCTAAGAGGGCGGAGAGTCCGGCAAAGAGCGTCTCCGCCCCCCACCGGAGAATTGCCGCTATCTTCAGGTTTGCCTGAGAAGGCGAGTTACCGGGAAAGGAGCATCACAATGGCAGCGCGCATGCGCGCGGGGATTCTGGGACTTGTAGTTCCAGCCACAGCCGCAACTGCCCGCCGGTCCCGAGCCGAGAAGTAGGGCTTCTGAGACACTAGTGGTTGGCGCACACTGGTGTCCTATAACTTGGTTATAGAAGCGTGGCTGTGTCCCCAGGGTTGGGCTTTCCGGAAGAAAATCGGAAATGCTTTGTCACGATAGGGTTTACATACTCTGAGGCAGTCGCGCAAAAGGGCCCTAAATCGTGAGGCCCTTCCATGCCACCTCCTCAGAACCAGAGTTGCCAGGATCTGGCAAATTGGCGCTGTCCTCAGAACCGCCTAACGCGAAGCTAATCACCGATGGATACCGGGGAAAGGCCTAAAGGTATAAAGAGGAAAGGAGACCGAGACTCCGGAAAGAAATGTCAGCCTGGAGCCCGGAGTATCCTTACGGTTTTCCCACGAAGAGCGAGATGTCATTCCCGTTTTGAAACACCACCAGCCAAAGAGTCAATGAGCAGCCCCCTGAGGACCAATATGGGACTCTACGCAGGAGAATGCGAGAGCCCCTTGAAGACTTTCAAAGAAAAGGGAGAAGGGCGAAGCAACGAGGCTGTTTGAGGGATAAATTTGTATTTGGTGTTGATTGCGTCAAGCTCTTTGGTGAAAAAGAAGCCCAAAGATTAAACCCCTTCGATTCACAGAAGAAAAAACCCAAAGGTATTAAACAGCTTTCCAAGGCTAGAAAACTAATTAGTGGCAGAACCCAAACTCCGATCTCTTAAACCTCCCATGTCCAATGCTTTTTTATTTAATAATCACAAAGAATCCCAGAAGTCTGCCATGGACTGAAAGGATACAATGAATTATGAGTTTCTTTTTACTTTAAATCTTTTTCTTCACTCAAGTGACATAATTAAAGCTGATTAAGAATGTACACGGGTTAAATATGAATCCTATAATCAGTCTCAAAACTCTTACAGAGGGCCAGCCGAGTGGTGCGTTGGTTAAAAGCTGGCTTGGGATGCCAGAGGGCCCCGGTTCGGATCCCATATATGAGAGCCAGTGACACTGCTCTCCACAGCTAAGATGCTGAACAACAGCTCAACCTGAACCTGGGCTGCCGTGAGTCGCTGGTGACGGCTTAGGCTGCAGCCCCTGTGGCAGTGGGTTGCCATGGGCTACTGTATATAGCCAGCAGCCAGCGTGAGCGGCCAGCTGCCACAGTGAGCGGCCATCCAGAAGCCGGCGACTGATCTGCCTCGCCTGGGAAGAGCGCAATGATGGTGCCAACTTGGGCCAGTGAAGCAACGTCCTCCACAACTAGACTGAAGAACAAAACGACAGCAACTTGTCTGTTCCCCTTCCCCCAATTCCCCAGCACTGTTCCCGTCACCCCAATTCCCCAATAAAAATGTTTAAAAAAAAAAAAACCTCTTACAGAATCTGTTTCTTCTTGTTCAGGAAATGCCAAAACCTCTTGACATTCTTTAAAAAAAAAAAACAGCAGACACCTCTACTGTCTTGTCATGTCTAGATCCTTGGATGAAAAATAGGACAAAATGTACATTAAAGGCAATTGATGAGGCAGCTCATCTTGTTCTATTCAAACTTAAAGAAGTTGCCAAATTATTTTCTTTCCACTGATTAAAACCACAAGTTGTTTTTTCCATTACTTTGTCTAACAGAATACAATTCATTTCAGAGTATTGGCTGGGCAAGTAATTTGAATTGGAAAGGATTAGGTTTTCTGTAAATACTTTTTCTTAAAGAAATTTATAGGGGGTGGGGTCCAGATTCAGTGACATTGTGCCTAGCAATATTTCAAATAGCTACTCTCTATTTAAAGAGAATAGTTTTCACTCACTTAGCAAGTACAGTGTGTCCTACACAGATATAATCACTGCTGTCATAGGTAAGGGTTTTAATAAATTTATTCACAGAACTATTGTGTTTATTTTAAATGAGTCAGTAGGTACAACTAGATCCTGCAAATGATGGAAAGATGATTATTCTGATATTTTATGACCAATTCTCATATGCAAATCCATGAAGGATAAGATAATAGAGTATCTGAGAAAGTAGTCCTGTAGCTATATATCAAGAAAGTTAAGAGGCAGCTGGTTAGCTCAGTTGGTTAGAGCACAGTGCTCATAACACCAAGGTTGCCAGTTCGATACCCACATGGGCCACTGAGATGCACCCTCCACAACTAGATTGAAACAACTACTTGACTTGGAGCTGATGGGTCTTGGAAAAACACACTGTTCCCCAATAAAAAATAAATAAAAATATAATAATAAAGTTAAAGAAAAGTGCAATGCAAAGGGAAGTGTTCTGTGATCAGTATCTTGAGAATAGGGAGGGCAACAGTGTATCTCAGGATAGGAGAAGTGTAAGAATGTATATATAATGAAAGTTATTGCCACAGGAGTACGAAAACAGCTTCTCAGGCCTCCTTTTTTTCTCTGGCCTTTTCCATTTAAGATTTATTGGTCTGTCCCAAGAGATATAATTTTTTTAGTTAGGATAAATGAAAAGGTAATATGTTATTCAAAAGCTGGTACCGGAATTCAGGAATGCTCTTTGAGCTACTATGTACAGAGGGTGCCAAAAAAAATGTACACACATTTTAAGAAAGGAAAAAACTGTATTAAAGTTATGCTGATGGAAACCACTTTGAGCACCTCTGGCAATTGCCGAAGTCAAACGTGACTTGTATTCATCTTTTGTTATCAGTATATATTAATACAGTTTTTTGCTTTCTTAAACTGTGTATACATTTTTTTGGCATCCTCAAATATATTAAAAAATAAATAAATGTGGTAGCCAGCCTCTAAGATGGTCCACAATGATTCCTGCCTCCTGGCATCTTCACCCTACACAATAGTCCCTCTCATACTGAATTGAGCTGACCTGTGTAACCAATACACTTTTTCAAAAATTATGGTGTGTAAATTCCAAGGCTAGGTCATAAAAGACTATGCAGCTTCCACTTTATGCTCTCTTGGGTCACTTAGAGAGAAGCCAGTTGCCATAACGTGAGGACACTCAAGCAGCCCCTTGGGGTGGGCACCTGGCAAGGAACTGAGGCATTACACCAATTAATTGGCACCAGCTTTCCAGCCATGTTAGTGAACCATTCTTGGAAGTAGATCCTCCAGGCTGAGCAAGCCTTCAGATGACTGCAAGCTGAGCTAGCCTCTTGACTGTCATATTGTGGGAGATACCACAAGCCAGAACAACCAGCTAAGCCACTCCCAAAATCCAGACCTACAGAAACTATGTGATATAACAAATGTTTACTGTTGTTTTAAGCATTAGTTTTGGGGGCAATTTTTCATGCAGCAATTGATAATACAGTGAGATTTGCAGGGGGGAAAAATGGAGAGAGGAATGATTCAAGTCTAGAGATGTGTGCCCTGGATACCTGAGCCTAAAAGAATGAGACTCTGATCCTAGGATCAGTCTGAGAACAAGTTAAAAGATAATTAGCAAAGTTCAGGTTTATACTGAATTCTAACACAAAACATAAAACTTCTTTCAACACAGTTTTTCTCCTAGCACAGAATAAAGAACATACTGAAGGATTCTTGTCTTCTTTCCCTTTTCCTCCATTTATGGCCTCCTCTAGCCATCTTTAGACATCCAGTGATTAACCACTTTCAAACCTCCCCCTATCCAAACAGGAAATGATATACACAAACTATTTTCATAATTATCAGAAGAATGACACCGCAATATGAACCAGTGTGCAATTCTAGTAAAAGAGACCCCTTCCCTTTTGCTTTTCCAGCTCCCTCTTTTTTTTTAAAAGATTTTTATTTGGGAATTGGGGGGATGGGAACAGCGCTGGGTAATTGGGGGAAGGGGAACAGACAAGTTGCTGTCCTTTTTATTCTTCAGTCTAGTTGTGGAGGATGTTGCTTCACTGGCCCAAGTTGGCACCATCATTG